TGGGGATAAGTCAGGAGTAACATGGATCACTACCAGCCTGTTTCTGCAGGCAGAGTGGAACAGAGTCCTCTGTCAGCCTGCAGCCAGGATCTGCCCTCTCTCTCTCTCTCTCTCTCTCAATATTTTTAATTATGGGATCTTAACTTCTTGCAAGTAGCATACATTGCCTTTTTATGGAGTTTACTTCTGTTTTGTGAGGGTCTGTAAAGGATAAGAAACAAGTTTATATCTTTTTTGCAGTGAGTTCCGTGTCTGTGAAGATACTCAGCTACATAAACCATCTTGTCCTGAGGGTAAGTATTAAATTTCTTTTACCATTAAGGAGAAGGCTTTGTAAAAGGGGGAAGTGTTTTTTTATATGAATAGCAAGACTGCAGCAAACTAAAAACAAAAGTCTAGGTGGGTTAAAAGAATGAAAATTAGAAGGTTCTACGAGTGCCTTTAACCATATTCAGCAGATTGAGGCCAGAGAATGTCACTGTTTGAAAGGACGTTTGAGCAGAAGAGCTTTTTGCTTTCAATACCCGGAGAGCTTTTTTCAAGCTTTCACATTGGCAGTCCTACTAAAATCTCAAAAGAGTTTAATGCTACCATCAGATTGTTACTATCTTAAGTCCTTTTGCCTCAGAGGATTCTCTGGAGGAATACAACCAGAAGTTGTGTATTTTTCTCCTGGGAAGTTTTGTTGTTGGGAAGAATGTGTACTGAAAAACTTACTTTTGACCCGAATTAACTGTTGACAGAGGTTATCCCGAGTCCTGATGTATCCCCAGACACCCACAGTGGAAATGTGCTTTTAGACCCTGAGGAGGAACAGAGAGATGAGGCCAGCCTTCCAAAAGAAGGTACCAATCCTGATACAGTCTAAAAAGAGCAAGCCAGCTCACATAATATGGTGGTAAAGGTGTGGTTCACTAATGGAACAAAACCAAGGCTTTTTTTAATGGGGTTCCTTAAATGCCAGTTCTGTAATTTCCTGCTAGGACCAGCATTTTTAAAATCGTGTATTAAATATTTTAAGTAGTGTTGGATACTCTGTTGTGGAAAAACTGTTGATATGACAGAGCCTCTTGGTTTTTCTTTACAGATGTAGGTCTGCTTCCCCCACTGGCTCCTGCTCCGTTTTTCTCTATATTTGATGAATCCTCTACTTTAACAAATCAGAATATAAGGTAGAAATATTCAAGACCTGGATTTCAGAGGGAGGGAACACCTGAAATATCAAACCATTTTCTGCAGCTTCTGAAATAACTGTTTCTTGCAAGGGTGTGGGGTGGCATTTTGTTTTGTTTATATTGCTATTTTTTGTTTCATTACTCAGAGTCCATGATGAGGAAATACTCTTCTGTTGCTCTTCCTCAGCCTAGAACTTTTTAAGCTGCTATGTAAACTTCATTTTGGAGAGTTGTATAAATTGCAGTTAACTGGCAGTTCTGTACTAGAAAAAGATAGATTGAAATTGTCGGTAGATGAAAACTCCTGAGGAATCTGCTGAAGACTGGAATCTGCTCTAATGAGTATTTAATTGAATGTAACTTTATCTTAGTTGTTCTGCAGATCAGACCCAGACAAGTGCCCGTCGCCCTCTCGCCGTTCGTAAACCTTTGGCCTCTCTGGCAGCAAAGGAAAACATCTCACCAGAAGCCTGTGTAAGGACACAGCTTATCCACAGCAGAGCCCCTGCCCAGGAGGAGCCAGCACTGCCTGTCCTGCTGACACACTGACCTGATGTGCAATAAGCAGGGATTCCAAACTGCTGTCTGGCACGGCAGGGCTTGAATTGGGGCATGTTAAGATTACACTGGAAATTCATGGTTTTGTTAGGCTTTAGGGTGGGCAATAAGGAGATGATGGTAGGGAGTCTTCCAAAATTTAGGCAAGTCATTAGTGGCCAGAGTGTCAGATACATTTTGGAAGGTGGTTGGGTGGAAGAAAGGGGAGAGAGAAATATTCACCTTTTAAATAAATTAAAGAAAAAAATGTCATAAAATGTACAGGCTTTTCACTGTCTCTTCCTGCTTTTTTTAAGGATGAGCTGAATGGAATCGAAGCTTTGACTGAGGATGCAATTGTGACAGGCTCCTACAAGAACAAACCCCTTTGTGCCAACCCAGAAGACATGTGTGACTTTAACAGGGCTGCCCACCTGGCCTCGACACCCTTTCACGGGCCGGGGGCTCAGAGAGTCCCAGCTCCTGCTTTCTCCCAGAGTGGCCTGAAGGAGGGTAGTCCAGAATCCAAGAGTGCACCTCTGGAGCAGGAAACGCTGGTGTGTGAGGGAGCGTACAGGGAAGCTCTGTGTGTAAATAAACTGAGGTAATTAACAGCAAAGTACCTCAAGCCCCTTATCCTGTGTGTCTTTCACAGCTGTGGTTTTATTGTGGTTCTGTTGCTGAAGAAACAGTTTTCTGAATAGAGCAGGATATTCCAAGGACAGCCATTTTTCTAGCTTAGGGTCTACTCTGCCTTGAGCAGATCCAAGAGGTAAGAGCAAGCCCACTTGGCTTCTCAGCATTACTGCTCTGGGCCTTAACTCCACGCTTTTACCAAATAACTTGCAAAGTAGTTAATAAATGCATTCTGTCTTGGTTATCAGACATGAAAAGCAGAATCATCAGTTCCTTTCATAAGTTTCTGCAGTTATTTTAAGTATATAAGATGCATCTGGTGACTATAATTTAGTTCTTCTACAGAGGAGGGAAGCTGGAGAGAAGAAAAAACTGGCAAATAACCTTCTTTTTTATCCTTGTAAACCAAAAAAGCATCTTATATGGGGGTTTCTTAATTTAGAGCTGAGTTGGTTTTGCTGGCTGTTAGTATGTAAACACATATACCACGCCGAAGGTGTTTGTTTACTTGGGGAGCTCCCTGGAAACCATGCTGATTATAATTAGGCAGAGTTATTTCCCACCCAACCCTTCACTGCTTTAAAAGCACTGACATTTGGTAGCGAGACGAGGAATAAATATTCAGTATGTCTTCTATGGTAGCAGTCAGATTTAGTGGAAGAGGAGAGAAAAAGTCATCTGTAGACTAAGATTCCGAGTATAAACAATCATCAAAGCCAGAATGAAGCACTGACAGGACTTTTGGTTTTCCACTGAGGATGGGAAAGGATTTCTTTGTTAATTAAATGTGGAAGTGCACGGTATCCTCTCCTGGTCACTGGGCTGGCATTATCTCGAACCTGTATGTTCTGGCAGTCTGAATAGCTGATGACTTTATTTCCAGCCCAATCATGGAAGCAAGCCTGGAAGACACTCGCTCGTCAGGTTCTTCAGTCTCAGGAGGTTCTCTGTCCTCTGTGACACAAACATCTGCTATTAAATACCTGTGTATCCCTGAGAAACTGGAGCTGGCTCAGAGCCTGCCTGCTGAAACAGGTCCTGATGCTGGAGGTGTCTGTGGAAACGCTCCTGGTTAGTACTAAACCAAGTTTCACTCACAACAAATAACTTGCAGCTGTCACTAAGCATGTTTCTTCTTGTCCTTCCTATGTCCCACTGTGCTTCCTGTGTGTTTCCCATTGCTGTGACTTGTGCCTGAACTTGTGTCCCTTGTGGGAAGCAGCAGAGAGGTCCAGTACAGAATGCTTGTCAGCATCCAAAACAGGTAAATATTAAGGGGACAGAAGTTATTAAGGTAGTAAAACCAGGGAGTGTGTGGGAATAATGGGGTCAAATTCTGAAAGGAAGAGTTGGGACTGGAGGGCAGTGAGAACTTCTAAGACAGCTTTGTTTTGGTTTGTCTTGGTTTTTTCTCTGTAATGATACCGTGTCTCTCCTGATGTGCTGATACTGCTACTTTGAAAAAGGGGAATTTGAAATCTAGTGAAAGTTGCAGAATTTTGGTGTAAATTTGCACTTTTAACTGCGCTGTAAAGTGTGGTGCTGTTTCACAGCACATTTCTTATTCCTATTGAAGGAAAGCAATACTGGTACTTGAATAGTCAGTTTATTTTTCTTCTAGCTAAAAGCCCTTGTTT